TCAATCAGGTTCCATTGGACGAGATTTATGGCCTATTAAAGGAAAATTTCGAGAAGCAAGAAAAACTCCTTGAGAAGTGCTATAGAAATTTTTCAATGTGAGTAGAATTCTTGAAGAAGAAGGGCAAGAGGTTGGGGGGCAATTTTTCGCTCCAGCCACAATCATAATTCAACCTAAGAAAATTGTCAAGACAGCCAAAGAAAAACCTAGGCCATCTGTTATTTCGGTTGAGACTGAAAGTCTAATAGGCCTAGAAGGAAAAGTTCAAGTTTCTAAGTAAAATATCGACTCGGAAAATGATTCGTCAGAGGAGTGTTCCAATGACGAACAAGACCAAAACCATATCAATTGATATGGTAATTGGAGATATGGTCTTAGACATTGAAACTACGCCAATCGTCATGATTATTGGTGGTAAAGTCGATATGGAGAAACCTCGTTTGGCTAAGTTGTTCGAGTTAAAAACCGAAATTGGCGAGGTAATTACGCTTAGGGGGCTTAAGAATTATTCAATGCCTTCAGTTGCTAGGAATCGTGTTATTTCAAATTTAGATTATTTGGAAATGATCTTTTGTTCAGCTTAAATGAAAAAGATGATACGACAAGATCTCAGCTTGGAATAAAACATCTAAAGCATTGTTGGCCTCCTTCTTATTATGGTATGGCCATTGTTATTTTTGTTCATAAGAAAAAGAAAAAGAAAAAAGCAGATGAATAAACTATCATCTTAACCATTCCTGTCTTTTAGACCGATGCATAAGAAAATAGGGGGGAACATGTGATTTTTTTTTTTTTTTTTAAGTCTCGCCGTGAAAAAGTGTTTCTAGCATGCTGTGTGCCATCATTCTTAATATTGTTGCCGAGGCTATGGGTTAGGACTGCCGCATGGCTCATCATACTCATATGTTAAGAGTTTCACTTGCGTTATAAATGCATTGTTTCATATGACAACCTTACTAAAGATTTTGTCGCAATTGGTCTAAACGCTTCCACTAAATAGTAGAAAACCGTTGATATTGAAAGAATTTTCTTTTACTTGGTAAGAATATATAGTGTGCGCTTGGAAACAATATGTATAAACAAAAGTTCCTTTCTTGGTTGCATTATATTGGCATTGCATCCTTGGGCTCCCGTGAGAAGAGGGGAGTGTGGTCGAATCACTGGGATTTGAAGAAAAGCACATTAAACATATCATCGTGAGAGAAAATCATCAAAACAATCTCCTTGTTTAAAATTTTACTTATTGGAAATTGAATCCTCTCCCCTACACCAATAAATTCTGACAATCTGACGTCTTTTTTTTTTCAAACCACATAAACTACTAAACCCTAAACAATCGTTACCAGCATTCTCCTTCTAAATAATAAAATATCGATCCAATTAAATGAATTAGTTTTGGTATTAATGAAACTTAGAGAGTTAAACTATTAAACAAATAGATGCTGAGAGAGATTCTCTTAAAGTAAGATTGTTAGGTACTCAAGTCCAAAGGAAGAGCCCAACCCAAAAGACTAGTCCAATAGGTGGAAGGACCCTAAGGACTTAAGTACCACTACACCATTTCTGGTGTAGTTGACGTGGAATCATAACATCACACCACTATTCGGAAGACCCGACGCCCACGACGGCCCTTACTCTGGTGGCTTTCACTCTTAATGGCGGCGCACCTTTGGTCATCCCGTTAAGGTAACCCTTTCCATGTCGCCCCCTCTGCAGTGTCGGGACTCGACACCCGCGATGGCCCTTACTCTGATGGCTTTCACTCTTAATGGCGGCGCACCCTTTGGCCGTCTTATTAAGGTAGCCGTTTCCAGGTCGCCTCATCTGCAGCGTTGGGAACCTAGGCTTTGATACTAATGTTAGGTACTCAAGCCCAAGGAAAGAGCCCAATCGAAAAGACTAGTCGAATAGGTGGGAGGACCCCAAGGACTTAAGTACCACTACACCATTTTTGGTGTAGCCGACGTGGAATCATAACAGAGATTCATGGAATTTGTGCCACCTCACAGTTTAACGCCAAGTCGTGCCAATATTATAAAACATTGTGCGAAAACCATAAGGTAACAAAGAATTGATGAAGTCTCCTTATCATTTCTTGTTAAACAAATCAACCAATTCCCGTGTCAATAATATAAAACATTGTGTCAATAATTGTTTGTTAACTTGCTCAAGATTGGTATTATATATATGGTTCTTTGTTTGTTAACTTGCCTATGATTTTATTTATTACAAAAATGGAAGTGGAACAAAAGGAGGAAGAAGAAGAAGAAGAACTTTATGAAACTATTGAGTATTTATTGATGGCAATTCAAGCTGTAGTCCATGCACTAAAGGAGTTTAAAATCACAACTAAACAACCTATTGAATGTCCTTTAAATTGACGACCAATTACTATGTTAGGATACGATTATATACATAAAGTATTGAAAGATACCATCCAAAATATTTTCGGTAAGGGTATAGAATGTATCCTGTTGTGTTTATGAAGTTATGCATTATTGTTAGAGACAAAACACTCTTATGAGATACAAGATTCATTGCGTAGACGCAATGCTTGCAACATTTTTTATCATTGTCGGCCACAATAATAGATATTGTCTACTACGTGATACATTTGACCAATCACATTAGACTACTAGTAGAAATTTAACAAAGTTTGAAGGCCTTGAACACAATAGCACGGAAAATGATGTTCAAACCTGGACTAGCAGTGCCATCTAAAATAAGGAAAGTATAAGGTTTTATCCTTACTTGAAGGTACGTATAATCTATGGTTTTTTTTTTAATTTTTATTTTGTATCATTCTAATTTATTCCAAAACATAAACTTAATAACACTCTTTCATGATTGTATTGGAATTTGGCAGATCACATTAGACTATTAGGGTGCGTTTGTTGCACGGGACTGTCTCGGATTGGACTAGCTATAGGGACTAAGTTGGACTGGTTTAGACTAGACTAAACTGGACTAGCTTAGTGAAACGTTTGGTGCAGTATCGGATTAAAAAGCATGGTTATGAAAACCCATCCACAACAAAGCAACCCATTACAATTTTTCCCAAAAGAAATTAAATTCACACAAAAATAATCAATGTGGATTTTGCGAATGAGGATAGAAAATGTACCAACAAGAACAAATAATGCTAAAGCTGTATATCAGATCAAGCAAAAATATACACATATATACAAACTCAGCCAAAAAAAAAAATATATATATATATATATGCAAACCTAGTATACCGAACGATGCAATTGATCATTTCATCTTAAATTAGAAAGAACCCACCCTTTTAAACACCATCACAGCAAACAAAACATTTTCAAAAATCTGAAATTTCATATTATATTTACCAAAAAATAAGTAAATCTGAGAAAAATTAGGGAGGAGATCTGATGCACAATTGTTGCGTCTCTTGAAGACGCGTCTTTTTATCAATTTTTGGTGCCTAGATGGCCTCGGCGGCCAACATCATTTGAATGTCAGCCTCCTTCTGAGACAGCTGAGTCAGTGATGCGATGGCGGTAGCCATCGTTGAGACTTCGACAGAGAAAGTGGGAGATAACCTTCAGAAAAGGAGTGGGTGGTGCCGACATCAATTTTAGCCTCGGATCGAGCAGACCCATCGGTGGGTGGTAATCGAATTTTGGAATTCAGGTGGTGGATGGGGCTGTTAGTGCAAAGATAGAGCAAGGGAGAGAGAGGAAGATCCATGCAGGGAAGGATTGTGAGGATTTGACGGGAAGGTCGTGGAGCAGGAAAAGGACATGATGCGAGCAGATGAAGCAGACGACGTGAAGAGCGAAGGTCTTAGCAGTCCGCTTCATTTTGGAGGGTCTATCTAAGACCCTCTAGCGAGCTCTCTAGTCAGGACGAATCCCCTTTAATCCCACTTAACTTAGTCCCAGCACCTATCAAACATGGGACTGTAGTCCAGTCCAGTCCAGTCCCATTTAATGAGGCCAAACAAACGCACCCTTAGTAGAAATTTAACAAAGTTTTGAAGGCATTGAACACAATAGCAGGGAAAATGATGTTCAAACCTAGGATTTCTAGGTCATCTCCAACCGAAGGGTCTAATGGGTCAGGGGGTCGAAAATAGCCTGAAAACTGTCTCCAACCGAGGGTTAGGCCATAGGACTCGTGGGCCCCACGGAATCTGAAAGGGCTAAAGGGCTGGCCCAATTCAGCCAGCCAGCCAGTTCAGGTCTGGCCAGAGGGCTGAGTATTCCTATCGGATATAACCAACATGAATGCTTAAACAAATTTTTGAATCCAATGGTAAATCCAACAGGCTAGCTGACGTCAGTTATTGTTGGATTTATTTTTTTTTTTTTTTTTTTGGTTTTTTGGGCCAATTTTTTTTTTAATTCTTAAAAATTCTAATTTGTTTCCTATAAATACCTAAACCATTCATTAAATTTAAGTTCTAATTTTTTTGGTTTTTTTGGCTAGTTACCGTTGTAATTTTTAAATTTAAGTTGTTGTTGGATTTGAATTTAGGTTGTTGTTAGGTTGTTGTAGTTTTTAAATTTAAATAATAAATTATGTTTGACCCTCGGTTGGAGATAATTTTTTGTGACAGAGCTAAAACAAGCCATATAGCCCTTTGACTTTCGGTTGAAGACGGAAACAAATATGACCCTTTATTATTTATTAAAATATTAATATTTGAAAGAGTTAGAAACTAAACCTCTGGTGGAGATGGCCTCATTATCTCCCATGGGAATTCCCAATAACAACAGAGTTTAAATTAACTTGGGTTTGTTGGCAGTGGACATGTAGATTGATAGGAGATCAGCATGTGGGATTTGACATCACCTCCAGATAAATAATGGTCCTGAATAATGATGACATAGAAATCTAGGTAGGCTAGGCTTTTTGTTTTGCATGGTGATGGATGTTGTCAGATGGGTTTGAAATGATAAGGGTAGTCTCAAATTTCAAAGTCCTCTTGTGAAAGTCTGTGGGCACAAGGAGACTAGCGGGATTTTTGCCGAAATATGTCAAGGATGATATCAGTTATTTTGATATTGTTTTCTGGGGTATATTCGGAAAAGGACTCTATTTGGATTGGCGATCAAGGAGAATTGGCTATACATACAAAGCTGCAAAAAATGTGAATGACCCTCCTCCAATTCAAAACACAAATTATCCTGCGCAATGGAGCACAGCGCCAAAAAGGACCGGAGTCTAGAGAAGAAGGGACTGCTGCAGAGTGACGAGTTATATCAGGTTACAACGCCGTTCGCTCAACTTTCGCGCTGCCTGTTTCTGATTAAATTTGTTAAATCTTGTTTTAACAATGTCAATGTGACAGTATATCTTGGAGACTAGTGTGTATCCACACGAACCGGAGCCTCTCAAGGAGCTTAGAGCTGCCACCGCCAGCCACCCGAGGTTATGATCCTTCGTATCTTAGCAGAACTTGTTGTAAGATTGCCTGCTTTTTAAGTTCATTAAGCTTCTTGTAGCCAAGCTAGAACTTGGCATACTTTAGTTGAGTGAGCGAGAACGGTCGAGCATTTCTTGATCAAACTGTCGAGGAGGGTTTTTAATTAGCTAGTATGTTTTCAGGGCTGAGATTGCTACTGCACTAGATGCAGGTCAATTAATGGCCATGCTGTTGAAGCTCATAGATGCAAAGAAAACGATTGAAGTTGGCGTTTTCACCGGATACTCTCTCCTCCTTACTGCTCTTGCAATTCCCGACGATGGCAAGGTCTGTCACTTCACTACTAATATCTGAATCTGCTCTTCCTGTCATATCGAGCTCATAATTTGTTGTACTGCAGATTGTAGCCATAGATGTGAATCGTGAGACGTATGAGCAAATAGGGCTTCCAATCATAAAGAAAGCCGGTGTTGAGCACAAAATCGACTTTATTGAATCCCAGGCACTACCGGTTCTTGATAAGCTGATAGAAAATGTAAGTATTTTGCGTTTCAAACCAGAACCTTCAGCTGAAATAAGAAAAACCATAGTTGTGACCTTTTTCGCTTTCTCGTGGTTTTGTTTGCAGCATGAAAACGAAGGCGGTTTCGACTTTGCTTACGTTGATGCCGACGAGGTCAACTACTGGAACTACCATGAGAGGTTAATGAAGCTGTTGAAGGTGGGTGGTTTAGTTGTTTATGATAACACCCTCTGGGGAGGAACGGTTGTAATGCCTGATGAGTTGACTCCAGAGCACAAGAAACTAGGCAGACATGCGACTATTGAGTTTAACAAGTTACTTGCAGCCGATCCTCGTGTCCAGATTTCGCATGCTTCTTTGGGTGACGGGATCGCAATTTGTCGTCGTCTTTACTGATTCTTGCTTGAAAGATGTAATCTTACATGTCTAAAGCTCGGGGATTTGGCAATTTCCCCTGACTAATGAAATAATGTATTGTTGCACTAGGGAACCCACCGGAGCCGGAGCGAAAACTAGTCTTCGTGCAACTGTCGCTGCTTATGGATATCTGGACCTTATTGTATATAAATAATTGTATTATATAAATAAAAAGAATTTTAAATGATAATAAAAAAATTCAGGGATCTTTTCTTGATTGGTTTGTTCTACAGAGATGAACTCCTCCAATCTCATTTTTATTCATAATTGGAAGTTTTTACAAGATGATAGGGTGACCCTTGGGAAAAGGGAAAGAAGTTTATCGCTTTGATTTCACCTTATCAATTATGTAAAAAATAAAAAATCAAACAAACAAAGAAAAGCCGGATTAATATACATATATATATATATTATATCTTGATCGATCTTCCAATTGAAACATAGGATTTAAAATAGATCACTCAAAATTGGCGCATTTGTCATACCTAAAAATTGGCGCAGTTACGAATGAAATGGCAAACCGAGGTACAAAGTTACATAAGCCCGAGTAAATGGACTTGTCATTCATACAGGAGGTCAAACACGAAACTGAACGAAACGATCAAAATTAACAAGCAAATTTCCCCAAGTGTTTGGCGTCTCAACCTCCAAGACAAAGGAAATAAAGTAAATCAATTTAATCTAACATGAGGGGAAGAAATGCGCTATCAGAATGCTTCCTAACCCTATGTTAACGGCTTTATCATGTAAAAACCGTATAATATGCATCAATCTTCACAATCAAAAACTGTATCAGGTCGTAATCTGGACAGCGTTCTTCGCAAATGTTTCAGCAACCAGCAGAGGGAAAGCAATTGTTGCATCGCAATGCACCTGGTTCAACCAATAAAAAAAGGTGGAAAATAATCAGAATGATATCACAACAGAAACAAGGGTGAAATATTCAAGAATGCAAAGGATACAAAAGAAAACACTAGAAGGGTTAGGATTAGGTGGATACGAAGTTATAATTAACAATTCGACCAAAAACAAGAGATAAAATGCAATGAGAAGAGCAAATATAGGGGTTAAATTCAGTAATACCTTGACAGTTTTGGCAGAATCCCGTATTTTTCCCCATGATACAGCCTCGTCAGGACGCGCTCCAGAATCACTCCCATCAAACTCTTGCGCAGTATTGATGAAGACACCATAATCCGCACCATTACGAAACATATTGGCATTGGAAATGTGATGTTTGGGCATGCCCCCTCCGAGAATGATCATTCCAGTCTTCCTTGGGCTTGCATGGACAGCTTCATCATTCATGGCCCTAATATCTGTTCAAAGGCATGCTATTATGCGATTTGACTTTCCAAGTTGATTATCAGCTGCAGTGACAGTGTAACGAGCAACATACCTTGCACTAAGTCGATGATCAGGCCTGGGCTGCGGAAAGAATGAAAGTACAACATGTCTCCCAGTGAGCCATCCGTTAAACCTGGACAATAAACTGGGATATTGTTCTGGAAAAGAACTGCAAATAGTATTAACTAACAGTGCCATTTAAGTCCTGAAACTGACCACCGAGGCAACACATATCCATTTCTAATCACTCTACTCCTCAAAATACAATTTCACAAGACGATGTGTCCATGCATGCTTATTGCTTATCCAACCAAATTTAGACTCTAAACCAGTAATTCGTGAGGCAAACATGCTATAGAAGCTTAAGAGCTAAAGATAAAGTGTTAGGTTGATTTCTTGCCTTGTATGCCCAATAAAGGTATGAACGTCGATCATTTATTTCCTTCCCCAAGCGTGCAATCAATTTAGATGGAGTCCACAATACGTTCTGCCAAAAGAAAAGAAAGAATTAGAAAAAACCATATTGATCACAGCCTAATCACCACCCCACACCCCCCAAAAGAACTAACTTGAAAAGAATCCATGCCTGCTCAGTTTGGTCCTTCAACATCTGGTCGAAAATTGGTATGATCCAATCCTCAAATTTGCAGTAGTTGTCATTAGGAACAAGCAAATTACCAATACGATTCAAGCCTTTGACCGCAAAAGTGCTCCTGGTAGAGAGAAATCACCTCTATAAGTGGGCGCAAGGCATTTAACTAGATCCTCCTCTATACCACCAGCAGTTGAAACCACAACATCGACCATATGGTGATCCACCAAATACCGAATTGTATCTCTAATCCCAGACGAAACCAAATTTGAAGTAAAACCTAGAAACACCTTGCATTTCACTGACTTTCTGTATTTCAAATCCCTCTCCTCCTCATTGCAATCTTCATCTATAGCCTCGTCTGCTAGACTCCAATCTAGCTTCAGTGCAACAAAAAGAATGATTAGGTCAAAAATAAAAGACAACTAGGTTAGTTTGGTAAGAGAAACTTACCATTTGGTTGACAATTTGAATGGCATCTCCGAGATTGGAGGCTTGGAAGCCAGTGGAGACCATGGAGCTCACGAGGCGAGGGTAGTCTACTCCCTGATTGAAATCATATCCTTCGATTTCTGTGCTTTGGCCTTCCAAATCCTCTGACTCTATGAACACTGTAGAGTGCGTGGATGCCAACCGGTCATCTTCCATTGCTTCACTAACTGATTTCAAAATCGTATTCTCTGCCACCGCGCTTTCTTTGTAATTTGGACAGCTCTTAGCTCACTCACTCGGTAATCTGAACTCAACACAGTCCAATCTACATTCAGATTAAGCTGGATTACTTGAAATCGTCACGTTCACAGATTAACATATGCACATTAGTTTGTCATAGTAGAAAAGTTACAAAATGCTGCAGGCAATCGAATCAAGAATCGAATGGTCATCAAACGGGCCCTAAATTTAAACTAGCACAAAAGGCGGAATTCAAAGTTAATCATTCAATCCTCAGATTCTTTTACTCCTCCTTCCTCAAACGAACTTTCCCACTATTTATAGCGCAAAAAAATGAAAACTGAAAACTAAAAAGCGGAAAATGGTTATCAAACGGGCGCTAAACTTTCATTATCGAGTAAAAATGTTAAGAAAGCAATGCAGAACGTAATCGAAAACAACGACAATAACAATTAAGTATGAATTAAACCAGTAAAACAACATAAAAATTTTCAGTTCAACCAACCAAAGTTCTCACCTTCTTCATCCCATCAAATAAATTTCATATATTTTTGGAAATTAAGAAGAAGAGCAAAAAGCTTACCACCGGAGAGGGAGAGGCAATTCGGGAGCAGAGAAAAATGGCTGCCGCGATGGGGTTGTGAAAAGGTAAGCAAACAACTTGGGGAAGGGAGCTGCGTGGTAAAGTTGTAATTAGATAAACTAAAAAGGTTAAATTAAAATAAGCAAAGGGCAAAAATTATTAAAAATAAAAAGGGCCGTTCCGAGAATCGAACTCGGGACCTCTTGCACCCAAAGCAAGAATCATACCACTAGACCAAACGGCCGATGTTGTAAAGGTGTTATGATTTAACATACATATTTTAACGTTTTTTCTCTCTCTCTCTTTCTCTGCGCTGATCGTTTTAACCGTCTAGGGTTTTTGTAGACGACAACCATATAAACGAAATCTTGAGCAACGACACTGGTAAACCCACGGAGCCGCCTCCTCTCTCACTCAGTCTCTCTCTGCAACTGCAAGAGTAAGTCCTCCGCCATCGCCGAGACCTCTCGAGCTCCGATTCCGTTTCTCTTTATCTCCGTGACTCCGATCACGGTTTTTATCACATCATTTTTGGTCTGGTGTTGAATCTGAGCCGTTGATCTGTGATTTTTTGCAGCAGCAGAATCCAGGTGCGATGGCTACCGTTCCGGGACAACTGATCTGGGAGATCGTGAAGAAGAACAACTCCTTCTTGGTGAAGGAGTTCGGCCGCGGCAACGCCGGCGTCCGCTTCAGCAAGGAGCCCAACAACCTCTACAACCTCCACTCCTACAAGCATTCCGGTAACTTTTCTTTCTTACTTTCTGTTTGTTTCCCGATAAAATTAGAATAATGTAAAACCCTAGGAAACCGAATCGTCGTTCTAATTTTTTTTTTTTGGCGGGTAATTTTAGGTTTGGCGAACAAGAAGACGGTGACTATTCAGGCTGGAGGGAAAGATCAGTCTGTGTTGCTCGCCACTACCAAGACCAAGAAGCAGAACAAGCCCGCCAGTCTGCTTCACAAGTCTGTCATCAGGAAGGAGTTTCCCCGCGTCGCCAAGGCTGTTTCCAATCAGGTAATTAACAATTTGATTAGCATAACCTTTAGGTTCATATAATGTATGTGTTTAATAGTTAATGTGCTTAATTTCGATAGTTCTTGGTTTAAATCGACGGTGATCGCAATTCCATTGCGATCGCTTTTATCTGTGTAGGCCGTGTTGTTAATGTGAGTTTATTTTTGGCCGTGATGAGCAGCTAACACGTAAGAAGATCCTGCTTTGTGTGGGATTTTCAGTGAAATACATTTGTTACGCTTGGCTTCTGAGCACCCTATTTAGCAGATATAATCTAAAGCATTTTTGGTTCTGGTCTAGTTTTTGGCAGATGGTTATGTGTGCTTATATCTGTTTTGTTGAGTGTGGTGAGTGAAGATTTGACATGGATTTTGAAGACCCGAACTTGTTAGTAACAACTAATTTTGAATGAAAATTGATCATGGAGATTGAAGGGAACCTACCTCCCTTTTCAAAACTGTATCGCTTCTATCTTGTTTTCAGGGTTTGATTCAACTTCGGTGACTGTAGTATTCAATTATCGTTGTATCTTGTTTTCAGGGTTTCATTCAACTTCGATGACTGTAGTTTTAACGTGATATAGCTTATTTTCTGTTACATTTGATTCGCTTTTATTGTTTCTTCCTGTTAAACCTCTCAGTAAAGTAGTAACTTTTCCAACTCGTTGAGTGCCCATGTCCTAACTCTTTCTCCAACACCTCCCCCCACCCCCCTTCCAAAAAAAAAAAAAAAAAAAAAAAGACTCACCGTCTTTTTCTCCTTCCCTCCCCTCGGCATGCTCCCTGTTCTCTGTCTTCCATGTTTCTTAAGCATCTGAATTCTTCTGGTTTTCTCTTTATGTATGGATAAGTGTCAATGAATTTCAGCACTAACTGAATTGTTCTTTAATTGTGAATTCTTCCAGGTTGCGGATAACTTCTACAGACCAGATCTGAAGAAAGCTGCCCTCGCCAGGCTCAGTGCCGTTCACAGGAGCCTCAGGGTTGCCAAATCTGGTGCGAAGAAGAGGAACAGGCAGTCTGTCAAGACCCCTGGTAGGAAGTGAGGGGAAAATGTGTCATCGTTGTGTTCATTTGGTGTTTTAGCTTCCTCTTCCAGGTCCAAAGAGACATGATTTCCGGTTTTAGATCGTATTATATTTTCTCTTGATGAATGTGAAGACTTTAGCCCTTTCACCGAACAAGGGAAGGATCCTGTGTTTTGTTTCTATCGCCAAATTTTGCTGAAGATTGATTTCCTAATGCGATGCCCTAAGATGTAGTTTTTAGATATTACTTCAATCAGAGGTTTTTTTTTTATTCTTATTTTTACAAACGATAGCGTTAGAAAGTTAAATTGTTGGGAAGGGAAATCTTTAACCGAACATTTTGGTTTGCAAACTAATTGAAGTCGATGCATCAAACCAACCCGATCTACCATAGAATAAAATTGTTTAAAATTGGTTCGAAAATATTTACATTAGTCAGTTTCCTTCCTTACTTTCAAAGTTGAACAAAGGTTGTTAGGTTTTGGGAAAATTTGACTTTTAGGCTTGTTTGTACCATACTTCACCAATCTCGAAACTACTAAGCACTGGTTAACAGTATACCGTTAAGGATCCACAAGACTTTTCCTCCAACCTGGAGGCCAGTCACAACACGACACATGTCGGTATCAAAAGACAATCACAGCGCGACACGTGTTGATATCAGAGGCCAATCACAACACGACATGTGTCAATGTCAGAACAAAGCTATAAACTCTCTTCTATAAAAGGGGATCATTCTACCACAATAATCCCTAATGTCATTTATACTAAACTATTCACTAGAACTCACAAAAAGAAAGCTTGAACCTATGTATTTGTGTAAACCCTTCACAACTAATGAGAACTCTCCTACTCCGTGGACGTAGCCAATCTGGGTGAACCACGTACATCTTGTGTTATTTGCTTCCCTATCTCTATTTATTTACATGCTTATCCAAACTAATGATCAGAGCAACCTAGCGAATGTCACAAACTTGACACTTTATGTTGTACCAAAGTCCTCGTCGATTTTGTGCATCAACAAGCTCTCGTTAAGATAAAATCAATGAGTTCAACCCAACCTAACTGACTCACCGTACCTAATGTTTCTGGATTCATTCAGCTCGGTTTGATTTGATTTTTTTTTTTTTTTGATCAAATGATAAATTTTATTAAATTTTAATAGGAATGTTTACATGTTCAACTAGAATATTAAAAAGAAATTCCGAAGGCGGTATGCGAAGCAACCACATGAGCAGCTATACTCCGCGTCCGCGGGACAAACAGAAACTTCATCTTCTCTAGTCGAGACGCTTAAGACCTTAATATGGAATAAATAACAGTCCAAAGTAGCATCCGTAGAAACCTTACCACCATCGCAGCCTTGTTACCTGCAGAAGATCAACGCAGCACAAACTGCGGCTATTTCCACCATCGCAGCATTGTTGAAAAAACAGCCTCCCGCCCCTCCCGCCATCTTGGGTATACCTGCAAAGTCCCTCATAACCCATCCTTTTGATATGTATTAGATATATTATATGATACATTTCGGTTTTTAAGAACTCGTTTAGATGTGCTTTTAAAACCGTTTTTAAAGAAAATGTTTTTGGGTTCAAAAAACACTTAAATGGTTTCTGCAAGAAAGCATTTTAATTGTTTTTTTAGAATTTATTTACATTTTTACTAATAATTGGTTCTAAAAATATTTATACTGAAAACGTTTCACTCATTATAAAGATACATTCAAACGAGGTCTAAGTTTGGAGAAAAACTGGACCGAGCCGAACCGTGCCTGGTTGGTCCGTCCGATGAAGTTCACCATTTGAAAAATTGGAATTTTGACAAGAGAAATGGAAAATTGGAATGAGTAACACGTGCATTGCACGTGAGAGTTATCTTTACCAAATCCCGCTACAAATATCAGAGATGCCCCAATTTGCAACAGTGTAAATTTCCCGCTCTCTCTCCCTCCCATTTCTAGCTCCGGAAACCCTAATTCGAAAAATGGTCCAGAAGCAAGGAGCCTCTGCCGATCCGACCGCCACCGAGCCTAAGAAACGACGTCGCGTCGGCTTCTCCAGCGTCGGTGAGTCCTTCTGACCTTCGTTTCCTCACTTATGTTGCCTTTGTTCTCAGAATGCACTTCCATAGTTCCTCGTGTTCTTCTCGAATTTCAGTTTTTTTCCCTTCTGTTTCTGGTTCCGTTTCCTGAACTCATTGATTTTGTTTGTTTTCGTTGATTTGGGAGCAGATTCTGGAGTGGAGGCCAAAGATTGCATCAAGATTTACCTGGGTATGATGAGTTTTATGAGCTTTTTTCTTGGGTTTATTGGATTATTCTGTTTGATTTTGTCGATTTTAACTTTTAGTTAGCTTATTTCTCGATGATTTGGTGTTTGGTATCTTGTTGTGGTTCCGTAAAGTAGTTGACTTGGTAAGAAACAATTTTTTTTTTCTCCATGGTTCATCCATTTCAGCTGTTTGTTTATTGCGCAACTGCGTAACTGCGGTGATGGAAAACTGGCGGTTTTGATTTTTTACGTTTGGTTATATTACTTCAGGTTGGGATCCGAAAAGTTATGATTTTTGGCTGAATGGAAATAGTTATTTACATGTATGAATTGCAATTCGTAGAATGCTCAAATGTTTAGATGGAGGATGGTAGGAATAGATGGAGTTGATTGGTTTTACACATGGTTGGGTTGGAATAGTTTAATTGTTTATTGTGATAGTAAAGTTTTACTTTTCTTTGGTGATATTTTCATACTTCTTTATCAGAAATTCCGCGATTGTTTGTTTTGTTTCACTGGTTTTCTCTGCTTTAAATCTTATCTTTTTTTGAAATTATTTTAATTATAGTTTCTAGCAAAGCGGAAGTGGGTTCTACAGACAGTTTTTGTATTGATCCTGTTGACTTGAATAGCTCTTTTGATGATGAAGGGAAGATATATGGTTACAAAGGATTGAAGGTAATATTTATGCATTTAAATTGAAGTTTACTTTTGTAGAACTTGCTGCACTGGTGCAAATAATGTTAAAAGCTATTTAATAGTTTGAATGGAATGATTTAGAATGACTTCTTCATAATCTTTCTTTGGATGCAGATTACTATATGGGTTAGCAGTATATCGTTTCATGCTTATGCTGATATTGCATTTGAGAGCACAACTGATGTAAGTACTCTTGTTCTGTTGCTCTCACTCTTTCTCTCTCCATCGATATGTTCTGTCTGCCAAATACTTTTATTACTTATGCTCCTAGCTCTCTTTATCAAGAAGTTCTCTTTATCAAGAAAATATTACTGATTGCAATTATAAATGTTACAAGGGTGGCAAAGGAATCACCGATTTGAAATCAGCTCTTCAGGTTTGCATTGATTCCCAGTTTAAACCATCACTTCCGTTTTAGTATGATAGTTCTGCTGCTAAGTTAGTAGTATTCTCCAGAAAATATTTGCTGAGACCCTCATTGAGAGTGAAGAGGAGTTCCTTCGAACTTTTTCAATGCAGAGAAATTTGATTAGGTAATGAGCTTTGCATCCTTTCAGAGATCAAATGTCAAAATCACTTTATGCAATAACCTTGAGATTTTTGTGTGTTTACTTAATTTCATGAATTCCTGATTTAAAACGTGTACAGATCCATGGTCTCAACGGGCGAGGTGTTACAGCACAAGACCTCTATTGGACAAATAAGTGTTTCTAATGGTCAGTTAGGAGAAACCACTTCTGATTTGCAGGTGATTTCGATGTTCCAAGCTTTTTTTTTTCTTTTTCTTTTTTGGCAGTATCTAAAATATGATAAATTTTCTTGCATTGTGTAATAACAGTAACTATGTTCAGGTTGTTCGCTTGGTTGTTGGCAAGACAGCTGCTGGACACCTGTACAGTCACTTGATACCTCTTGTTCTTCTTCTTGTTGATGGTAATTTCTTCACCTAAATTGTCTTATCACAGAACACTGCTATTTTATTTCTGCTATGGAAAGCAAGGGGAGGGGAGTGCAGTATAAGATTGTCACTGTAACATCAATTTCTGTTTTTTCAATTAGGTAGCAGTCCAATTGATGTTGTGGATCCAAGATGGGAGTTGTATGTCCTGATCCAGAACAAAACAGATGACAAGGAGGACAACTACAGTATATTGCTTGGTTTTACGGCCGTGTATCGTTTTTACCATTATCCTGATAGTTCTCGGTTGCGGCTTAGTCAGGTTTTCTCCTTGCCAATATCACTTATGCAGTAGTGCACATAAAATTTCATTGTTTATGCAATGTCGGTGCTGTTTTTTTTTTACTAGACTTTTCTTGATGGCAGATATTGGTATTGCCTCCTTACCAACACAAGGGTTATGGACGATACCTTCTTGAGGTCCTCAATGATGTTGCAGTATCTGAAAACGTCTATGACCTCACAGTTGAAGAACCATTAGATTACTTCCAGCATGTACGAACTTGTGTTGATGTACTGCGCCTTCATAAGTTCAATCCAATCAAGGATGCAGTTAATGCAGCAGTTTCGCAACTGAAGCAAGGAAAGTTGTCGAAGAAGACACACGCTCCTCGACTCATGCCATCCACTAGTGTCATTGGGGATGCCCGGAAAAGTTTGAAAATTAACAAGAAACAGTTTCTTCAGTGCTGGGATGTTTTCGTCTATCTCGGCCTTGATCCTGTGGATAAGTACATCGAGGATTTTGTGGGAATTATATCTAATCGCATGAAGGAAGATCTCATAGGAAAAGATTCTGGGGCTGGTGGGAAGCGAGTGGTTGAAGTTCCAAGCGAATATGAACCAGAGATGTCATTTGTTATGTTCAGGTCACAGGCCGGGGAAGCTACTAGTACTGTTCAGATGGACGAAAATCAACCAAATCAGGAAGAGCAACTCCAGCAGTTAGTTGATGAGAGGGTGAAAGAGATCAAATCAATAGCTGAGAAAGTTTCTTCGCAGATCTGTCTGACTGCCGAGGCATCATAATGTGCTTCGATTTTTCTGATGCGGTTGTAACCCATTGACGCAATTTGTTAGGCGATAACTGATTTGTGGATTGGGATATCAGAGGAGGCGTATGTGTAAATTATTGAGCTTATGCGTGAATTCTAGCTTATGTTAATTGAATGTTTGCAGAACTTCGTTACTTTGTGAAATTTAGTAGCTGACGCCGTTAACATGCGTACTTTTGTAACTTTTTATTCCTGTTTCTTTGTTCAAAAGTAATCGAGATCCCGTCCGGATATCTTTGTCCGGCGCCCAAGGACTTGGAGATCCGGGGCATTGAGAAAGATTTGGACCCATGACATGCATTTTTCTAATACTTTGACTCGCTAACTCTCACAACGTAGTACGTCAAAACATCATTGTTGACAGGCGGTACCCAGAAAGAAAAACACAAAACTGCATGGTGGTTCACCTTCCTCAGCTTTATCTTAATGACATCATCGGCTTTTGAAATTCTCCTCTGAATTCTCTTCGACAAACCGACTTTGCCACTCGCCAATCACGTACGTAAGCCTCACTTTCTCTCCTCTCCAAATTCTCAGTTTCAATTTCTTAAATATTTCGAGAAACCAAACGAAGCATTAGAGTTTAAAGAGAGAATGCATGGCGTGTCATGAGATGTATTCTGCGGACAATTCTCAACGCTTGTCATTTCGTGGCCAACAACGATGTTCTGGTGTACCACAATGCGAGGTTATTGTGTCAAGACAAGCCATGACAAGCACGCAAAATGCATGTCATCGTATGCCAACAACAATGTTTTGGTGTGCCACGATGCGAGAGTAAGCATGTCAAGACAAGTCATGACATGCATCTTTTATTTGCATACCTTCTTACATGTGAGAATAAGTTCAATATCTGAGCTGAATATTTTCGAACGTTATTACCAGTAAGAATGCTTCATATATTTTCTAGATCTTTTTTTTTTTTTTTTTTTCAAATTATCCCGATATAGTAGGCAAAGTGTTAGAAAAATGCATGGCATGTAATATTAAAAAATGAGTTAGGCCAATGAGATAGACTAATGTAGTTGCAAGATTTAAAATGAGTGATCTGAATTCTCAAGTCCGTCGACTCTGAACACAGAAATTTAGAGAGGATCTCAATTCGTCCAAGTTCCAACAGGGGCCATGGGACGAAGATTTCTAGCTTGTTATGACGGGGGCAAATAATCACTAGTGTTCATTCACATAATCACTTATCGTAAAAGCAAGTTTTAAATAGAACATCAAATCTACTCAGGAAGTTAAGATTAGAACTTGCAAGCGACCCATAACAAGGGAATAAAAACTTCATAGGAAAAGGAATTGAGTTTCTTTGCGTTCTTACTGGGTTGAAAACGGCATCCCGTTTTAGTTCCTCAACCTTCCCTCTTCAGCAGTAGTCCATATATACATCTCTACGATCAAAACATAAGGTACACGACTCGAAGTTTTCATTGAACGGGCTTGCCCCAACGTCGGCAATGTTGACTGTGTTCGTACCAAGTCTGTGATCTTCAATCCTCAGATGTTGAGCAGAAAGCCATGAATTACTGCACTATGTAGAAATCTCGGATGCCATTAAAATAAGTGATCTTCTGAAAGTTGATCCATTGAAAGCCTGTGAATATTTCAACAAGTGTTTCGAGGATCCGTCAACTTTCTCCATTGTGATTGTCGGGAATATTGATCCCTCTATAGCACTTCCTCTTATATTGCAGTATTTGGTGAGCAAAAATTCCTTTCTACCTATTTACACCGGGATTATATATATGTGTTCACAGGTATGTGATTTACCATGCAGGGTGGGATACCAAAGCCTCCTGAACCGCTCCTACAATTTAATCGCGATGACCTCATAGGACTACCATTCACTTTTCCTAAAACCAGAATAAGGTAGAATAGAGAACAAACCTGAATGTAGCAAACATGTTGTACTTTTGTTTGTGGTACAAGGCGTCTCAAATATTGTTCGATTGAGCAACTCCATTGATCACCCAATATGTTCGGCGTTCGAATATTGTCGATTCCTGTCCTTGTCTGATATCTAAGAATCCACTGAAGTTTCTCACAATAATTTTTGACAAGTCGCCTACTTTCTTCTTGGTCCAAATCCCTTCTTACAATCTGGACTGGATGTTCTTGCAGAGAAGTGGTTCGCAGCCCGATGGTGGAAGAACAATGTTCTGTCCAATTGTGCTTCCCTGTGGAACTGAAAAATGGAACCATGGTGTGTACCTTTCTTGTCGTATATTACAAAGCTTTTGATGGTGACTTGAATTTTCCTGATGATTTATAACTAGGGAAAAACATTTATATGGCAGGTAGAAGACATTCACATTGTTGGATTCCTGAGCAAACTTCTTGAAACAAAAATTATGCAGGTTCTACGATTCAAACATGGACAGGTACGCATGCCACCGAATTATTTTATTTCTATTTATCATCTTTGTCATTGATTCAATTCGTCTTACTTACCTCGATGCTATAGATCTACATGTATGTGTTTCTGTATTTCTTGGCGGCAATAAGCCTTCCAGAACTGCAAATGTTCGTGGTGATAAAAGCATAAACTTTTCTTCTGATCCAGAAATCTCGTCAAAGCTGGTTGGTGCTTTTGTTGTTCGACATATTCCTATATTTTGGTTTATTAATCGAATGGTCGTTCAACTAGCTGTTTGATACCATACAACAGGTCGATCTTACTCTGGATGAAATATTACGTCTCCAAGAGGAAGGGCCGTCAGATGAGGATGTCCCAACCATCCTTGATATTGAGCAAAGAGCCCACGAAAATGGGCTTCAAGTAAGTTTTCTTGTTACAAAAAGTTTCATTTTGGTCAGTGATGCACCATTGTTCCAACAATCACCTAGTGCACAAAGTTTCGTGGATGCGAGAGATTAATGAAGTGGATGTACTTACACAAACCGTTTGATTTCTGTTGCCGATTTCCTTCATTCAGGAGAATCACTACTGGTTGGACAGGATTTTACACAGTTATCAGTCAAGAGACTGCTCCGGTGATGTTGGCACTTGTTTTGAGGTTTGTTGCTTTAACTCAAAAAACAGTACACTGTAGTGGTCTCAATGCCCTGTACATCTCGCTTTAACTCACTAAAATCGTTCTTCGAATCTACTCAAACCAGTCATCAAACACATACTAAGGTGAGTTCTAGTCAAAGTTCGTACTCAAAACTGATTATCTCAAGTAGTTTCCAACCTTTAGAGTAAATGTACAACATATGAGGTTATTCTGGTTGTGGCAGATTTTAGTCAGCCCTGCTGGTCTCGCGGTCTTGGGTCCTAGCTTATGGAAATATTCACGACGCACCCTAAACTCGTAGGTGAAGCTTACATAGAAGAGCTGTAGAATCTAGATACACAAGAAGCGTGAACATTTCAGTTACAAATTTAGGACGGTTCTTTGTTTTTTTGTTTCATTGATTCTTCGAGAGGTACATACGAAGCTGAATATAGCTGAATTTTCTGTCGAACTAGGATTAATATAGGCGTGTAAAGTCGATGATGCTAAGATGGAAGCTAATACAAATTTATTTGATTCCGTTCGAGGCGTGTAACGTTGATGTGTATTGCTTTTCTTTGTAGTTCCATAACATGTGTTTAGTAATTTTGTTGGAAGAAACTTTACTATGATGCAACTTATAACTGTTGTGATCCCTTTCTAGTGATGCATTACAACTTTATAAATTTGTGGGTTCGGTCTCATCCAACGTTACCAAAAGAGTAAATTCGACGTGTTCCTTGTCACGTCATTTGATCTTGGTGAAAAGGTCGACAAAGGTATTAGGGTTTAGGGGCGCAATGAGAAAGCAAAAATTCAATATGCATTACAAAAGAAAAATAATAGAGAAGTCAGTTTCGGTGATAGTGTCACGCTATGTTATTAATGACGCGTATAACTATTGATTTACACTATGCTATAGTTTATCACATCAACGTTGTCGTGCACCTATATGATAACCCATGATGAGTAAAAACGAGTTGTCTTTATAATTAGATTAAACACAATTGATTTGTTGTTTCTCATTGTTCGATAATTGATATGTACAAAAACTATTGCAATGTAGTCATATGGGCACAACGAGGTTATGCCACTGCAACGTGCTAGCAACAATCAAGCATCAAACACAATATGTGGTGTTCACATTATATAACTTGAATTTAAGATCTCTTTCAACTAAATGAAAATAAAAACTGCTAAATCAAATATTTAATCGCAAATTGATTAGTTGTTAACACATTTCCGAACCAAAAATATGGCTAATCCTAAACATATTTTTGTTTTCCTTACTAAAAAGCCTTATTAACAGAACAAACGACGTCATTAGTTGTTTACCATCTCTAACTGGCAACAAGCGACACGTCGTATAAGTAGAAGAAGGGGACTCTGATAGACCTTTATAAGGGTGTGGAAGCTAGGGTTTTACGCCTCATTTTTAGTTGTTCCCCCAGCGCCTCTTCCTCTTCTCTTTCTGCATCACATCCAAGTCCGCCCCAAAGGTTCGTCTCTCTCTCTGTTCCCCCCCCCCCCCCCCAAAAACCTAAAAAAAATCTCCTACCGATGAAATCTTACTTGTACATCTGAAGTTGTTCTTAAGAAAATATAATCTTTTCTAATCATATTTATGCTTAATTTTCTGGTGGCGTATAGCTCAAATCTAGGGTTTTTGCTTTCAAGATTGGATTTTTTAATTGTGGGGTTTTTTTTCTTTCTTTTCTGAAGTGAGGATTTGCATATGCAGGTACAGTTGGTAGAAGGAGAGTGAAAATGGTTGAGAAGACAAAGGGAAGGAAGGAGGAGGTGGTGACTAGAGAGTACACCATCAACCTCCACAAGCGCCTCCATGGCTGGTATTGTATTTTCCCCAACTTTTCGTGATTTGTTCTTATATTTGCATTATTCGTGCTTTCGGTTCGTCAGTTTCGCATTTAGTAGTTGTTTTTGTTGTAAATATTTGATTTCGGCTGCTTGTTTTGCATATTGTGTTTTTCTATTTACTGATTCTTGACTGGGATTTGGATTCATATGGTTTTCGAGTTGTCGACATTTGATTTCAATGTGTATTCGAATGGGTTTGTATGTTTGAAAATTTTCGGAAGTATTTCCTATGTTGTGATTGTGGACATGTGTGTTATCGAACTTCTATTTTACTTTTATGATTAGTTATTTAACTAGAACGGAATGTATGTTTGTGTCGGGCGTAAAATAAGTAGAAACAGAAAAAAAAGATATAATGCAGAACTTAGTTATTAAAACTGGCGAGCTGGGTCTTCTAGCAAGTTCGTAAGTTGTTGCGAGGGGTTTGAGGTGGACAATATTCACCAGATTTTTATGATGAGGAGCAGGCAAAAGGTGATGATTTTCATAGTAAAATGTGATTAGAGGAGGGTTATGACTGAAATTGGATTTTTCAGATGGACATTAGGATGGTAAGGTTTCTTAGTGATGGATTAGGGTGGTGAGCGGAAGCGAGACTGCTCAAAGATGGCCATGTAGGACTGTAGTATGGAAATGGTGTAAGCTACCTGGCTGCGGCTTGGGCTTGAAGCAGAGGTTCTAGTCCAGAGAGTTGGGCTTGGAATTTGTGGGTGTAGGGCTCTTATGGTCTCAGATGTCGATGTTATTGAAAGTCTGCGGAGATAGTAGGTTCTGTATAAGCATCATTTGCGAATGTGTCGTTTCTTTTGCTTGTGCATTGCTATTGAACCATTGAAAAACATTAAAATAACTCTTCTGCAATGCCTTTTCATAACAGCACATTCAAGAAGAAGGCTCCTAACGCCATAAAGGAGATCAGGAAGTTTGCCAAGAAGGCCATGGGAACAAATGACGTCAGGGTGGACGTGAAGCTGAACAAGCAGATCTGGAGCAGAGGAATCAGGAGCGTCCCAAGAAGGATCAGGGTTCGCATTGCTCGCAAGAGGAACGACGACGAAGATGCAAAGGAAGAGCTCTACTCCCTTGTTACCGTTGCTGAGATCCCAGCATGAAGGACTGAGTGGATTGGGCACCAAGGTCATTGAAGAGGATGAATGATCAATTCATTTCCGTTTTAAGTAAGCTACTCTCATTAGGAAGAACAGAGAATTTTATATGCTTTTTCGAAAAACCTTCAGGAGTTTGTTACCAAACTTAAGACTTGTTTCAGGTAGTTTGGTGTATTTTTGTTTGGTTAAATATTCAGCACCGGTAATGTACTTTTTGGTTTTTAAGTGATGTGTTTCTCTGGTTCTTAAAACACCTTTGGATCTCTCTGTCTCTCTTCGAATTGCTTTCGAAGAAATCGAACGGAGCAAAATTCTATTGTGCAACGGACATACAACGTCTGTGCGGCCGTGGTCTGCCCGTTAACACTTGGGCGGCCGCATTGGGAGATGCCATAAAGGAGGATCTGAAGAGGATCCTCATTCGCCATAAAGAATCTCTCCTAATGCAAGGTGAGCTGTAAATGACACATGCAAGACGAAAATTAAATTGTATTCGTGAAAACACTACGCAAACCTTAAAAATTTCAAAGTACATCAGAATACATATTGTCTGGTAAAAACATTAGTAAGTTCGAAGCCTATGGGCTGGCAGAGGGAAAGTCTTTGAACCCCGAGAGTGGTCGGTCCTGTTCGGCCTGCCCTCCGCTGCGAGGCTGCTCTTCGAACCCGAGTTCTTAACATGCTTCACCTGGAAATAATGCGGAGCTACTTCCAGCAGCCACTTAGGCTCTATTTCCGTTACACATCTCATGTATTCTCTTGTCGTAAGCACCATTTCGTGGTATAAAACGCAGCTTGGTGACTCCCGCGCTAGCCCTGAGCTCGGGTGGATGTAGGCGGTCTGTGGATATTTGATTGTTCTATAACGTCCATTCTTCAAAGAGCTTGCAACGTGGGGGAAGAAACCGGATGCAATGGCCTTCTTTATAGGCGTTAGATCATCGGGATTTGAGATTAATTCGATCTCAACCCGCCCCAAGAGCCGTTCAAGTTGTACCCGGATATCTCTTGCTCGTTTCATGCTCCTCGCCTGTATGTAGTTTTCGGAACACCATTGTGTTGAGTAATTTGTCTCCTTCCATTCATTGTACACATTAAGCAAAGCAATGTGATCTCCCACGTTCCCGGTTTGAAACCACATTCGTGCATTGTCTGCGTAGGCTTGTTTGTTCTTCGGGCGGAGAAAAACTGAGTTACCAACAGAAAGCATAGCAGCGATTGAAATAACCTCGTCCGAGCACCTTGTACTTGCCGGAAGCAACTATCATCTTAGATAGCTTCGGATCAAGAGGAAACTCTGCCATCTGCCTACCGACCTTAGTCAGCTCACCAAATTTGTTCAATGCAGCTAGGGCAAACAGCAGTTCAAGCGCCTTATCAATCCTTCAGCAGGTGGAGCATCTATGAAATCGAAATGTAACAAGTCATGGATACCGAGACACTTCAGTGTAAGCACGACATTCGCAAGGTTAGTCCGTTGTATTTCTGGTATTGTGTTATCTTCAAAATCATGCTGGTAACTGTAAGATGTGTATAACCTGAAGCATTTCCCAGGGCTTGTTCGACCAGATCGACCTGCCCTTTGTCCTGGCCGATGCTTTCGAGATGGGAGTGACTTGCAATGACTCCATCCCAGTCCTCGGATTATAACTCTTCATCTTGCAAAATCCAGGGTCAATGACATATTTGATCCCATCTATTGTCAGCGAAGTTTCTGCTATGTTTGTGGCCAGGACAATCTTCCTAGCCCCTGAAGGCGTGGGCTCGAAAACCTTCGCTTGCAACTCAGTAGGTAGGTTTGCAAATATGGGACAGATAATCAGCTCACCAATTTTTGTCCCAAGGCCTTCTGTCTTCTGTTTCAACACTTCGGCCGCTGCTTCAATTTCTTCCTGACCAGTGAGAAAGATCATTATATCGCCAGATGGTTCTGTCACATGGATTTGAAGTGCAGTAGCAATTGCTGCATCTAAATAATCAGCTTGTGGTTCCTTTGTGTAGAATATATCGACAGGATGCCGCCTTCCTGGAATATATAAAATCGGGCAATAATCAAAGTAATCGCTGAACTTCTTAGCATCAAGAGTTGCACTTGAGATGAGGAGTTTAAAATCGGGTCTAAATCGTGCAATGTCTTTAACTAATCCGAACAGAATATCTGTCGAGAGCGTTCTTTCATGTGCCTCGTCCACCATCAGCACACTATAGCTTGCCAAATCTGGTTCGCCGAGAAATTCACGCAACAACATTCCATCAGTCATATATTTCATAACAGTTTTTTCAGATGTGCAATCTTCAAAACGAATAGAATAACCTACCTCATGGCCGAGTTTGACTCCCATTTCTTGAGAAACCCTGGCAGCAACACTCATAGCAGCAACTCGCCGTGGCTGCGTGCATCCAATCTTTCCATGCTTCGTGTATCCTGCCTCATGCAGATATTGGGGTATCTGTGTGGTTTTCCCGGACCCAGTTTCACCAACGATAACAAGAACCTGATATTTTTCAACTGCTCGGAGCAACTCATCGCGATAGGAGAAGACTGGTAATGTTTTTCTCTCCTCCTGCAGCATCTCCAAGTTTGATTTCACTTGCGAATCAAATGACTGAGTTTGTTGTGCTTGCAAATCATCATCAAATTCATTAGCTGATGCCTTGACAAAATCAATCAGGTCTCCAAATACAAATTCGTACTCATCAGCAGACATTGACCTATTTTTGTCTTTGGATCCGAAATTCCATGTTGCCTTTTCAATTTGCTGATCCTCCCAAGCTTTCTGTTCTGCAAACGGGTTGATTTTATCTCCGCCATTCAGTTCCCGGTAGCATTGAGAAGCCACAGAAAATCTCTTTTTCTGATCAATGCCGCACTCCTGATCATCATAGGCTTCCGGGATCATGTACTCATTGCCACTCTCATCCCTTCTAGCACTGACTTTTTCTTCGCAATCTCTAATATTTGTTTCTTGTAACTCAAGTCACGGTCTTCTGCTTCGGTCAGCTTCAGACCTCTGAATAAGCAATTCTCATCTTCTAAATCCTCCATAATTTCCTCCAATTTCTTTTGCTCCCGTTTCTTTAGATACTCTTGTCTTGAAACTCTTCTTAAAGCTTCGATATCAGCATTGGTTCTCCGAAACGCCTCCTTTGCCTCGTTCTGTTTTAACAACCTTGTTGGGGCTGCTGCATCCTTCTCCCTTATGTTTCTCTCCAACTCCTCCCTCTCTCGCTGATCACGCAACTGTTTCTTCTTCTTCAAACGGTGAACCATCGTCGCCTTCTACTATCCATATTCGTCTTTTAACCGGTCTCTCTTCGTTCACTCTCGCAATATTTGCCTCGCGATCTTCTTCTACTTCACTCCGCACCCTCTCCTATACCGTTTCTTCCTCGAATCCAACTTCAGTGGACTCATAATCATCGTTATCCACATCTATGATCTCATCATATGTTCTCTGCAGCTTCCTCACCAGCCTGGCCACTTCCCTCTTCTGTTTCGATAATGACTTGCGGCGCAATCTTGCGAAGATTTCTTTCGAAAAAGCGCCCGATTCATTCGTGGATGGCAGTCCAAAATCGACGAGTTTGTCCATCACACCAGCCGGCGATGTTGCTTGCTTAGCGAGTTGAATAACGAACCGAACAACTACGATGTTAGAATATCCGAGAAAATCCATTAACTTATCAGACACCCAATTCTTCAGAGTGCTACGCCTCGCCATCGAAAATCGAGGCTGATGAAATTTTTCTTAAGGACTTGGATTTGACAGAAAGAAAAGAAACGAGGGAATATAAAGTGATGGAAATTCTGCACTCGCGAGATTATATTGTATGTGTATTTATATAGTCTGGAATATTTAGGCCGCAATAATCCATTAGGAAGAAGGAAACCCTAACCAAATAGGAAACCAAGCGACGCTAGGACTAGGTTTCCACCGTTGACTAGGTTTTCCTAAACAAAGGGTTTTCAAAAAAGGGTAAAGCTACGTGCATTAAATTTGGAGATAAAATTTTGAAAATTAAAAGGCATAGAAGTTGATGATTGATTTATTACTTAAATGTTGATAAATGTGTTCATTCATATTAGTGACACATCATTTAGCTTGCAAATTTAGTCTCCCTAGCATCAAAAATAGACTTCGGACCCAAGAAGGAAGAGTTTTCTTTGACAGACAAAAAAAGGAAGAGTTTTCCATAAAAAATTTAAAAACCCAAAAACTTAAGGAAAACAAAAATGTTTTATTAATTTATTTTCAAATGATAAACAAAAAATTATTAAATTTTAATAGAAATATATACAGAATAATCAGATCGGTGCCATCAAATTCATCAATGACAACTTTTATGTATTGACACAAAAGGGGTACCATGTTGGGCCACACCTTGCTGACACACATGCGGGGTATGTTAAAACACAACAAGTTTAAGGAGAAATTTTGGCAGAGTTTAATTGTCACTAGATTATGTTGGATTATGTTGAGTGACACCACTAACCACTCAACTTTATTTTAAGCTTGAATCAAATGACAACATAGCCCCTCTAGTACGACATCAATTAAGACGTAAGTCATTGAGCTTAGCACGTGAATTATCTACTCCGATACCATATTAAAATGTAAGCATCCTCACATCCAAAACCAAAAGCTTCACAGCAAAGTAAATTCAACAACATATTGTCAAAAAGAAGAGAAAATAAGCGACATAATCTCGAAAACACATCAAAACTAGTGTGTATTAATTTTTAAGAACAACGATACTGCCTGTGTGGAATTCTGATTATCGGAGCCTTATCAAAATAATCACTGAGCTTCTCAGGATCACTCGTACTTCCACTTTCACTCAACACAATAACAAGTTTAAGATCACGTCGAGCTCGAGCAACACGCTTCACTAATGCAAACACATCATAGTAATCACTTGCCAGCGTTCTCTCGTGCGCCTCGTCGACCATCACCACGCCGTAGCTCGTCAACAAGTCTTGCCGGCCAAGCCATTCTAGCACTAGCATTCCGTCGGTGATGTACTTCAAGACACTCTCTTTGGTTGTGCAGTCGTCGTGATTAATGCAGTAGCGTACTTCGCGTCCAAGTTCGACCCCCATGTCTTGAGAAACCGCTGCAGCAGCGTTAATAGCAGCAGCTCGCCGTGGCTCTACACACGCAATCTTTTTCTTGCCGGTCTTTGTGTACCCGGCCTGGTGTAGGTATTGCGGTATCCGCGTAGTTTTTCCACATCCAAATTCGCCAGCAACAATCACAACCTGAAATCTTTCAACTGTTTCAAGAAGCTGACGGCGGTAGTACTGGATAGCTAAAGTTCTTCTGTCCTCCTTGAACTTCTCCTCAATTGATTTCACCACCGTTGAAGATTTTGATGCCATTAGGCAAATCACATGAATGTTAAAGCAGCTAGGAAACTGAGCTGAATAGAATTAAATTAACTAAAACACAAGACCTTTGATTATATAAGTATCTATCGTTTCCAACAAGGACTAGGATTGGTAGAGTACCAAACAAAGATTAAGAAAGTCTTTGCACTCGAGGAAAAAAGTAAACAAAACTAGGTTATGTTCCGTACATGTACGTTTGAACAGTAACAGATCGAGTAAATCGGGATTGGATTGCAAACTAATTGCGATCGTTCCTATATTAACATAACACGGGGACAAATTGGTAATCAAGATTCATAAGAACACCAATCTCGAAAAGGAAAGCTATTTAATCATGGTGGTTTCAAGTTTGTTTTAGAAGATATTGTCAAGATTTACATGTTGTCATCTTTTATGTTAATTGTAGATATAAATTGAAGGAAAATATAAAAAAAAATCTCAATTCTTAGCTTACCCAACTGTTTTTATTATTTTACGGGAAGGAAATTAAGTTTTATACTGAAAAACACTATATTTAGCAGAAATTGAAGTCTGAGACTTTAAATGACCATTTTTCCCCTTTCGCGGCGATTTTATAATGTTTAGCGACGGTTTTCCCATATTTAATGACCATTTTAGGTCTTCTACGTGTCGAATATCTTTAGTAACGATATTTTTCGTCGGTAACCGCTACAAAAGGTAATTTAGGCAGGGGTTTAGGAAATCGCCGCTAAAAGTCGCAGAAAAATTGTGACTTCTCCTCCTACCGTTTTGACAATGCTTTTTCACTTAAAAAACCATCATTCAACAAATATGCTCTCATCACCGTCTCTCTATTCGTCTGTGTTTAAAGAAATTACATGGAAATATTGTTCAAAATTACTCAGTAATTTTTTGTGGTCTTTTATGACTATCGTGGTGCTGACATGAAGCCTGCAGGTCCCCAATGTTTGAAGCCTGCAAATTCATACAGCCAAAGCTCCATTAAAAGCACATTAATAAAGCTAAAACTCAGAACTAACGCCGTTACAAAACAAAAATAATAATTTTCACTTTCCCTACTAACATTGGCAGTCGAGGACTAACTCAATCTTTGTTCATTTGGAGCGATACAATCACTTAGTTGTGTGACCAATAACATTCCACTTCCCCGTATTTCAGTTCTAATTTTTTTACCATACCTTCTTATATGCTTCTACTGGAACAAAATAAAATTCATTTACTTATCATGCAATTAGCCGCTTATTCGGTATCTATCTATGTAACCTCCATTTCAGCAAGAAGTGACTTCCACGAAAACATACAACTAAAACCGAAGTGTTTCTCTCCCTTTTTTGCCCCCTTATATCCATTCGAAGAAAGATAAAATTAACTGACACCGATCAAGATTACCATGCTTTCTTAGTTAGTAGCAGAGGGATGTGTGAATAATGTCAGAACTTTCAACTTTAATTTTCATATTCAACTTCATTGAGTAAAATTAATAGAATAATCTAACAATAGGATCGATGTTTGAACCAAACTATCAGCGGCTACACAATCGGAAACCACAAGATTTCAGACCTGACAATGTATTCAAAGCGAGTTTTACAAATTGTGATTAAAGAGAATTACCTTAGAGTTCAACCAGGATTTTTCCATACAATACGGAGAATCAAGCTGGTATGGCCTCCCTCTCCCTCTCCCTTATACCAGAATCAAACTTTTTGTCAACTGCCCTTGCTATTTACATTGCATCAATGTCAAAGATGGACAAACACAAGGTTCAGCTAGCTTTGTAAGCATACATATAGCCTCGAAGTTTTCTTATCTCTTCTGATGACTCAGTTAGCAGATGATCAATGTACAGAGCCAGTCCTGCCCCGCTGCAATACCAGATAAGCTTTCATGAATAAATTTAAAAGTTATACAGACAGGTTCTGAACATGAATCGGATTTTAGCATACCTTAGAGGTCCAAATGGAAGCCAGATTATATCCCAGCGGAACCTTGGCAAACTGCACAAGTATCATTTTTGTTCAAAACTAGTTTGTTTGTACCTTAAACATACAGCACAATTCACAAGGGGAAAGAAACTTAAGAGCAAGCAAGATGACAACATATTGAACACAAGCTGGAAAATAAAATGCAGGTGCAGTGGTGCACCCTGCATCCATGTTCAACACAAGTCAATTGAATGAAGGGCCACAGTGTCAGAGGCTGAATGAAGGATACATATAGAGAAATGAGATCTTTTGATGTATTAGATTTATTGTTCCACTTAACTACCTCACGGTGACAGTTTGATCGTAATTCGTTCTTAAGATTCTAAGTTGTGAATATTCTAATATTCTTTTAGAAGACTGGTTATGTGATAAAATAACTAATGTTAGAATGTGTGAGTTTGAGAAGTAACATACCTCAACATGTAATACAACCAAAAAACTGCGAGTACAATGCCAGTAAAGAGTGAGTACCAAATCCATCGGCGGTGATGCTTTGAATCATGAAGTAATCCTATGATAGCTGATGAACATGCTAGAACAGCTAGCCAATCTGTTATATTTTTAATTAGTTAATTATTTCATCTCAAAATAATGTAGAAGACAGCCAACTAAGCATATTAAGTGCGTGCAACACTTATTTCCCCCAACAGTAAATAATTACAGACAGTATAACACATATTCTAATACAGAATTACAAAAAATCCAATAACAAGAAATATTGGTTGAGCACTTAAACTATGCTACAACCATCTCGTGACTGTTGAAGCATTGACACGTGACTCTACTAATGATAAGTAGGGGAAAATCACCTGCAGATATAACCATCCATGAGGGCACCTCCTCCATGAAGTAAGCATGATAACGCTGTTGATCAAGGTCAAAATATGACATTTCATGAGTAAACACATTTTTCAGAGTAACATAGCCACAAAATCACATATAACAAGTAGTTGCTCATCTGACACCGTGGTAGCTAAACAATATCATTATCGATATTAGACTCATAGAGTGACAAGACAACAACTGATGAAAAAGGATTCATCCTCTATGAAAGACACTAAATCACTACATCCTCATATGTCACAGGTTCCATAAACAGCTAAAAAGCACTCAACTCACAATTCTCAACTTCTCAACAATAACGAGCTCTACCCAGTGAAATTTTGCGACTTGATCTTTGAACCGCTATCCTTAGGTTAAGTAATTGAAGTTTCCACATACTCACAACTTGTATGAGATTCTCATTGTTGAAAATAAAAGTTACAAAATACAAAATTCCAATTGAAACCCAATGGCTCCCAAAAAACTAATCGAAAGAAATTGGCCATTCTCAAGCATATAGTGCTGAAACCCAGAAAAATGGTAAATTCAATGAGAGCAAAGAGAAAGCAAGATGCTTCAACTTGCTAAATAAGAGAAGGAGAATCTGCATACCAATTCCCATGGAGACAAAACCTGCTGACAGATTGAGTACAAAAGAAACGCTGAGAAACAAAAGAGAAGCGATGCAAACAAAACCTAGCAAAAGCAAAATCAGCGAGAAGTTACTTCACATTTGAAGAAATCCAAAAGTCAAAAGATTTACAATTGTTTAGTTGGAGAGAACTTTTACCCTCCACAACCGACTCTGTTGAGCTTGACTCTTCTCCAATTCACGAACCAACTCCTCTTGCTCTGTAAATTCGACAACCCATTAACCAAAATGGGACTAAAAAATCAAAATTTTTAACAATTTGTAATTTTTCAGCAGCAAATTGTAGAGAGAGACCTTGAGTATCCATGGGGCGAGAATCGTTGCGGGCAGGATCGTCCCAAGTGGGGAGAGAGAAGTCGTCGTCCTGTGAATTTCTCAATTTTCTGCTCAGCTTCCTCATCGCTCAGAGTTAGTCGAAGGTTTCTAATTTTCTGTTTCGCTTTCGAGAAAGAGGAGGGGGAAAACGAAAGGAAAATTTCGGGATTTTTTCTCGGCCGAAATTGCGAGTCCTATGGTGGACGGTGGATCGTGAGGGTCTGTTTTTCTCCTGTTATTTGTGGCCGTAGAACCTTCCTCCTTCATCCGGAAGTGGAACTGGCAGCGTAAGTTGCTCATCTTACCGTCATATATAATATATGCAAGCAAATTCATCTTTTGACCTTTCAACAGAAGGGATCAATTTAAGTCAAATATTGTGGATGACAAATTCAATACTAAATTAAACTTTTTATTATATGATTTTATCGAACTCGTTCTCTCCTTAATGTAAAAATATTAACGTACTAAAAAAAATCAATTAATTTGATCACCTTCAAAAATCTGCTGCACTGATGGGAATCTTTGGATTAACTGGGAGAGAGGAGTTTTTGGTTAATTGCAATTTTTGGAAACAACTTCATTGATTTTGTTTTCCATTTTTTCCATTTTTTCCCAGATACTTCCATTGGGACCATGAGTCTTGGTTTAGAAATACAGTTCAAAAGAAATTATTATGAAAGTTTTGTAATCCCAAATATGGAAAAGCATGTGACCCAAATTTCATTAGTCATGAACGACTACATAACCAACTAGTTATTAGTTTGCCGATATTTTTTTGTTGATAAAAAAAAGGTCATATATTTCAACTAAGTTTTGACGAGATAAATGTTAGTCGTAAACAATTGCATAACCAATTAGTTTTTGGTCTACTAATACTTCGCTTTTGGAACAAGCTCCTAAGTTTGAATCCGTCCAACGCGTCATTAAAAAAATGACTGCATAAGATTTGAAGGCACATTCCGAGTAAGTTTTTATGGGATCAATGTTAGGAATAACCATTAATAACTAGGTTAAAGTTGATATTATGAAAGAAGAACAAAATCGACAAAGGGCTTGTGACTCGAGTAATTTAAGAGTATGTATGCTCATACCTATAGTTCTAAGTGCGATTCCCCCCTCCCCACTATAGCTTGTATAAAAAGGAATGACAAAACGAAACCTATGAAAACAAAACAGGTTTATAGCTTTAAACATCAGCAGGTTAGCTGAAATTATTTATATGAATTCAGCTATACATGCCGAAGAATCTGCTCAAATTCGCATGAAGTTCGAAACTTTGATGTGGTTTACATAAGTTGAGCTCTATCAATCAATCCTAGCCCTTCACAATTCATCATGAGAGTTCCCTTTTGACAAAGTAGATTCGGGTTGATTTTCAAGGAGGTACCTTGTGGCCAAGGATGCGTGTAACGCTGCTCCATATGGAAGCACATCTTCGTTTATTCTGAAGTTCGGTGAATGGCCTGATTCGAGCTTTCCTTGAGACTCATTCTTCATACCGACCATGAAGAAGTATCCTGGAATTACTTCTTGATAAAATGCAAAGTCTTCCGCACCCATCAATGGTGGCTTCTCTAATATATTCCGCGGGCCTAGCAAATCTCCTGCAACATTCAGGAAGTGTTGATGCAGATCTTTGTCGTTAACGACCACAGGGTAAAAGGGCTTCTCCTTTTCGTTGAATAGGACAGTTGCATTGCACCTCTGTACACTGGCTTGTCTAGTGATGACCTGCAACTCGCATAAATAATTTACATTTATGACGACACATTGTAAGAGAAATGAATGAGAACAGGAATTTTCTACTTCGAACTCAAGACACCAAAAGGAAAGGAAGGAATCTAAACCAGGAGAAGCAAAGCATACCTCTTCAATTCTTTGTTTAAGGTGCATAAAGCTTTCCTTCGAAAATGCCCTGAACGTCCCACCAATTGTAACAGAATCTGGAATGACATTGAACGCACCGCCTCCTTGGAACTTTCCAACAGTAACAACCTGCAAGATATGCTTTATGTAACTGAATGGATATGGACTAACTAAAGTGCCACTCCTTGCAAAGGGGTCCAAAACAGCATAAAACAAGATGCTAAGACTAACACAAAGGCGAATGACTGGCACGGTGGCACCATATGGGAAAAAAAAAGTATTTAATAGCTTGCTATATTCGAAAGCAACATTGATCTGGGTGGAACTTTTAATCAAAATAGAAATAAGCGGTAGAGCAATAACAGGAACAAAAATGGATTATACAACCAGACACAAGCAAAGAGAGAACGCGAGAGAGGGAACCTGTGAATCCAATGGGTCGGCTTCACGTGAAACAAGATGCTGCAGACTAACGATAACATTTGAAGCAGCCAAGATTGGGTCTATTGTGTGTTGCGGAATGGCAGCATGACCCCCCTTCCCACTTATTACCTGCCTCAAAAAAACCACTGGCAGCTAAAAAAGGGCCAGACCTGGTAGACACTGAACCAATGGGGTCACCAGAAGCGACATGCAACCCAAAGATGGCACCAACATTCTCCAGAGCCCCTTCATCTATCATCTTCTTTGCTCCTCCACCTCCTTCCTCAGCTGGTTGGAAAACAAGAACAACTGTACCCTATAAGAAACACAAGAAACAACTAAAAAACTTTCTTGCGTATATAAGAGAGACATCCAACGACATTGAAATCCAGCTGACATACACACTAATCTACAATTAGAACCCACATTGTGGAATTAAAAATAAAAGGAGGATAGAGCTGTTTATGTAAAAACGTTCGTCAACAAGCAACTTCCTACATGCAAATGATTTAGAAATCAACTGAATAATGCAAATCTTCTACAATAGTGCAGGGAAGTAAAGAAAAGAAATTTGACAGACAAAAGGACTAATAAATTAAATTGGCTAACTGGGATGCTTCTATATTAGGATTGTGATCATTGTCCAAACAGGGGACGCATATATCTATATGATTTTGTTTTTCCTACTCCCTGATGTTTGTGTAACCCGTACATGAATCAAGAACCAAGCTTTCCTATAAATCCTATCTGAAATGACTATTTTGAACATAAATTATGTCAACTAAATCTAAGTTCAAGTAATGAATTCAATCCGTAAAAGTAACCAGTAAATAGAACACAACAGATTCAACGCAATCAAGCAACCAGCTGAGGAAAAAACCTGAAATGACTATTTTGAACATAAATTTATATACTGGTTTAAGGACAAGTATATAAATTCATTCTTTCAAGAAGTCGTCCAAAGAAAAAACCTGTAATTCGTGGCGATGTTCTTGAAGTATCTTTGTAGCACCAAGAAGCATGGCAACATGAGCATCATGTCCACAAGCATGCATCTTCCCTGCAACTTTACTCTTGTGCTCCCACTCCACGCTCTCCTGCATCAAACCAAACAAAACAAACAATTTCCATCAAATTCCTCATTATCTTTAATTCAATTTCCATCAAATTCCCCATTATCTTTAATTCAAAACACCAGTCTAAAATCACCAATTTCTACCACTCAGCAATGCAACAGTAACCGAAATAGTAATATAAGCGCATGTTTGAAATTGCTTAGAGAAGAACTAAAAGTGCTTTCTGGCCACTAAAAGCGCTTCTAACTGCATCTGAAAATAAAATTTAAAAGGGCTTGAGGGTCATAGAACGCTATTTCTAGCACTGCCAAGCTCCTTCTAAAACACTTCTAGTGAAAGCACTTCCCTTTCTACAGAATCAATTCAAAGGTCCAAAATTTACTGAACCTGCATAGCCAGAGCATCCATATCCGCCCGAATCGCAACGAACGGCGGCCCGCCGGTCCCAACAAAGCCGACAACGCCAGTTCCAGCAAATGGGTATTTGTAACGGACAGCTATCCGATCAAGTTCGTCTCTGATAAGCTTACTGGTCTCGAATTCCTCGAAACCAAGTTCTGGGTTTTCATGTATCGTCCTTCTGACTCCCACCATGTAATCGAAAAGCTCCTGCCTTTTGGCGGAGTCGAAGAACTTCACCGGGATTTGGGCCAACTCTTCCGGGCTCAGAGAACTGGTTGAAGAACTGAGAAGCGGGAGAATCAGTAACACTGTGAAAAACGAAGGGACCCATTTGCAGGACGCCATGGATTTGCACAGTGAGCTTTGTGGAGGTGGTGATTGATATGGATAGGGGGTTGAAAAAGGTGACCTCACGTGGAATGCGAGGGAGTGAGGGACGAGAAAGCAACGCTTTTCAGAGTTATAGAAAGGTGTATCACGCAAAATCATGTGAAAATGTAGGGTGATTTTTCATGTGAGAAATATTACAGGGTGATTTTTTGATATAATTAAAAAAATAGAAAAACTAATTTGAAAATTTTGAGTTTTAATGATAAGGATAAAATAAAAGGTAAAGTGAATAATACCAGATTTGACTTTTTAGTGTAAAAATGTGGTTTTTCGTTAAAGTGAACAGTACTATAGGCTTTTCGTTAAAACTCCCTAAAAAAAAGGGTGTTTTGTTACAGTTATTATTTTTTTATAGAATATAATTGATTCATCTTATACTTGTCTATAAATATAAATTTAGATTTGCAAATAATCATTGTCTAAATTTAGATAATTTTTTACTTTTTAGGCCATATAACACACGTCAGCAAAGGTGAGTTCATTGCACAAATTTACATATTTAAATAGTGAAAGGTAAAGTGAGACACGTAGCGAGTTGGGAACAAAGTATAACAAAGTCAAATTTTTAGAGTAAAACAAAAATTACATTTGAGTTTTATAAAGCATTCTAATATACAAGCCTTTCATGGATGTGACAATAATGTTTATGTTTTATGTTTTATGATGTAAGAATTAAGTCAATTATCATGCGATAAGGATGAGCAAGAAGTTTCGGAATCAAAGGAGTTTTACACCTCATATGACTGATCCACTATATTTCGTTAAAAAAAAAGTTTAAGGAGAGAGGATGCTATCCTATATTCTATGGCCACGAGAAGTTTTTTTAAGGATTTACTGAGAGATCTAGCCTAGTTTTTGACTTTCACAAATGATTCACTAAGTTAGATTTCCGACAATAAAATTTAAAACTAAATCTTGGTATAACGAAAAGGACGATCTTTACTAACTCAACAAACCCTTAGTAGATCAATCCTCTACTTAGCTTAGAAACATTTCCAACTTCTACTGCATTGACAATTACAAGAATCTCCCTCAGTTCAGGTCCTAGATTTACAATTGCAATTTGCAACCCAAACTAATCAGTGCACCCCGAAACGTCCACACCAATGACAGCAAAACGACACCGTCCCCCTAGGCAAATCCCCATCCAGCCGTCCGTCGCACCCACACCGGACCCACAATCCATCCATCGCGCCACGTGGAAAAGCATAACTCCAATCAACAACGTAGAGGAAAAACAGAGAGAAAAAGGCAAAAGCAGCTTCCCTTCTCCTTCTTCCAACGCATCACCAACACGCCTAAGCAATCCGGCAGAGCCCTCTCACCCAGTTTACGCGGGTCTCTCTCTCTCTCTCCTCCCCCTTCTTCTTCTCCATCAAAACCCTAGCTTCCCCAATCCGATCCGTCGTCTTCCCCCAATTTCCACCGGTGATTTCGAGGTACGCTTACATACCCAATTTATACCCGCACGTCTGTATGTTCTGATTATTTTCCGATGAACGTTGCGATGATTCTTTTGGGTGAAAAATTTCGGTGATTTGGGTGGGATTAAGGTTTTGCTCGATTTGTTTGCGTTGACGGTTTTTTGATTGTGAATTGTGTAGAAGATCGAGAGGGTTTCATAATCCTCGAAGATTTCAACCATGTTTACCAGGATTTTTGGGAAACCCAGACAGGAAAACAGTGCCCTCACCACCTTAGACAAGTTGAATGAGGTAAAATTTCGATTCATTCGCCGTTATGTGTTGTTTCGCATTGATGGTATTTGATTAAGTAATTGAATTTGTGTGGTTCCTTTGTGATTCTATTTGTTTGATTGATTTGGGTTTTGAAAATATGATTACTTTACTTTGTGTTTCGAACTTTTGTTGTATCGATGATTCTTTTTGGGTATGTGGATAGTTTAGAATTTAGTTTTGGGAGGTTGTGGTGCCAAATGAACTGTTTCTTGTGTAGTTCTTTATGTTTTCTTTGAGTGGTTGATGCGATTAGATTGCTCTTTGAATATATTTTGGTAAATGTTCGACAGACGCTTGAAATGCTTGAAAAAAAGGAGAAAGTACTACAAAAGAAGGCTGCTGGAGAAGTTGATAGGGCCAAGGAATTCACCAGAGCAAAGAACAAAAGGGGTATGTTTGCAAAGTGTTTCCATTTTTCTTATGTGAATTTGAGTGGTGATTTTCTAGTCTTTGGATCATTTTCTCAATGGACTTGTTGACTTTCTGCTTCAAGAGACGGCGTATGTTCACATCTGTTTATCCAAAAGTTTCACATTTTGCACCTAGATTATGTAGACATGAATGTGTCGGCATCCATCTGTTGTTACCAGTCGTTGGGATTTCTTTATCTTTTCACCACTGGTTTCAGCACCAATTGAACATGTTGGCACTGTAGACTAGACTCATTATTATTTGTATGTACTAATTCGTTTTATTCTCCTTAAAGTTGGCCAAAGATATGAATGCTGATTGTAACCTGATGAGATCTTGTCCATGAGTTGGAAATTTCGGAGGGGCTGGGGATCCCATTGTACAATTTGGATCTAAAACCACAAACATTTTTTGCCATGACTTTTGAAATTCTGGTGCTGTGTTGAGTTACAACTTATATTGCTACTTTGCAGCCGCTATACAATGTTTGAAGAGGAAGCGGTTATATGAGCAGCAAATAGAGCAGCTTGGAAATTTCCAGTTGCGTATCCATGATCAGGTAATGATGAGAATGGAATTATATTCCGTCATGCCTTCTATAGTGTTTCAAATACTGTTGATCGTTTTAATATATTATATTTTCTTTATTTTGTTTTTTATTTTTTATTGTGTCTTGATGAATGAGATTTTTCTGTATTTGTGTTGCAGATGATAATGCTAGAAGGTGCAAAAGCCACAACTGAAACTGTAGATGCCTTGAGAACTGGAGCTGCTGCAATGAAGGCAATGCAAAAAGCAACGTAAGAAGCACTATATTATTGATAGAGGATATTTGCACTTCCACTGGAATTTTGCTCTAATAATGTGCTCAAGTCGTTAAGTTTCCTTGTCTACTTATTTTCCATTCTTTGTCAAATGAGCTATCTACATTTTATTTCAGAGGCTGAATATGAAAATATAGTTCGACTGAAAACCTAGTTTCTTTTCTGCAATCGTTTTGTTTGGAATGATCAGTTATAATATTGTTGTCCTGCACTTCTGATCAAAGCTTGATTAGGAGATGCTAATAATTTGAGTGTATAATATTACTCGTTGCTTACTTTCTATGTTTTTTCTTCATTTCCTGTATGCCACATGGCATATTGGCATCTGAATAATTGAATTATGGGTGTTCCCTGACATAATTGAAATGTGCATCTTTTGGTACAGGAACATAGATGATGTGGACAAGACTATGGATGAGATTAATGAGCAAACGGAGAACATGAAACAGATACAGGAAGCATTGTCAACTCCAATTGGTTCAGCTGCTGATTTTGATGAGGTTTGCATTCTCGTTTTCATTTTCATTTTCATTTCATTTTTATCCCTTCGATGATTGGTTTTGTAAAGGATATGTTTTTGTTAGTCCTCATGGGTGTTAAAGGTATCAGTTTGCATACGGCTGCTTAGAAGTTTATACAATTTTATTTGCAGGATGAATTGGAAGCAGAGCTTGAAGAGCTGGAAGGTGCAGAGTTGGAGGAACAACTTCTTCAGCCAGCAACACAAGCTCCTGCAGCGCCAGTGCAGGTCCCAGCAGGAAGGCAACCAACTCGCCCTGCGCCCCAAAGGCGCACTGAAGAAGAAGATGAATTGGCTGCTTTGCAGGCTGAGATGGCACTTTAAGAGTGGAGGCTGTTTGCAGGTATTCATTATCCGGTAGGATGAGTCGAGGCTATGTGAAGGATTGGTCTGATTTTATAATGGAGATTTCTGCTTCGATCACACATCCCGATATCTGTGTGGCTTCATTATTAAACAGAATGTATATAAAGGTGGCACAAAATGAAACAGTCCCCTTTGAAACTTGTATTCTGCTTTTCCTCAGATTTTTCTCTTCTTTTTTTTCCCTTTTGAGTTTACTTGGGACATTTGTTCAAATGTTGTTCTTCGTCTGTCATCAGGCAGGCCTTAATCAAATAGCTTGTTCTATTATTGTGTGTTATTATTACCAAGTCAATAATATGAATATTCTGATGTGAAAGCTACTTTGTTCTTTTCTTGCTTTCTCCATTGGATTTGGCCGGAGCTGTTTTTAGGTCAGTCTTTCGGGTTCTTCACCGGCGGTTGACTCAAGTCAACGATGGGAAGGAAATAAAGGGCCAAGAATTTCACCTTCTCTTCCTAGTTTGGTGAAGAAAGGGGCATCGGGTTTAATTGTATACCATTGTAAAAGTAAGATTTAAAAATCAAATTTGACAGGCTATTAGGTATCGTCCTGCACTCCTTTGCTTGTTTGTGTCTTAATTCACCGTGATTTATACAATCTTGTGGTTTGAAGGGAAAGTCCAACGGAGCAACATTGGAGTGTGAAAATATTCTCAAGACAAAAAAGATGGATGAGATTGTGTTTCTGTTGGCAAATCCCATCACATTATTCACGCGCTACTTAATAGCATAATGAATGATGTAGGAGTATATATCCCGATTGTAGAGCATATTCTCTCTTTGTTGTGATGGTAACATTCTAAACATGGAATACCTTCATTGAAACTAAGAAATACAAGTGCAAATAGTTTCTAGTCCTCGTGTAAAAGTGTTTTTAAAATGTCGCTTTTAATCAAGACTTTCGTTGCTTTCCTACACCACAAGCAGTAAGTAACTTGGTCCACATTCTCTAAAGTGGTGTGGTAAACACGTTGTGGTCGTGAATTCAAAAGTAGTTACTTTTCCTTCTAAATTGACCAAAAGAAAAGGGATGTTCCCACGTCTTTCCTTTTGGCGACATGAACATTGATCTTGGTAAGTAGATGGTATTAGACTTACCAAAAGAAAAGGAATTCATTCTCGGTTACAGGCAGAGGCAAATGTACATTGGCACCAAGGTGGTTTCAAGACCACTCAAAGACTGAAATATATATACATATATGAATGTAATATATATATGAATGTCTTTTAATGGCTTTTCGAATGTTTAGTGATAAGACATATCTTAATAGGTTGCGTCGAGCATTCGACCAATTCTATCAATATCATCAGATTGCTTTGACTAACAACAAGCTCACCAAGTATTCGACAAAATATTTCAGAATTTTTTTTTTAAAATTTTATGCACTTCGCGCTCTATTTCCATCTTAAAAACTTGCACTTTAACACAAGGACCTCTCAAGTTTCGAATCTTGAGACCACCACTTGTTACAGGTAAGAATCCTTACTCAGTCGTGAAGTGATTAAAATTGCCCTTTTAGCTCACCTCAATAATTTCAATAACGACTTAAAAAAAAAAGTGAGAGAGAGAGAGAGAGAGATCATGTTAACAGAGGATAAGAGAAGAAAAGGCCTAGCAACAAACGAACAAGAACATAGCTTAGCTAGCTAGCAAAAGCCTAGCAAGAAGAAGATGCAACAACAATTCCCTTCACATGTTTCTTGAAGAATTAATCTCTCTCTCTCTCTCTCTCTCTATAAAATCATCCATCTTGATTTCTCCAAAAATGGTCATCCAGATTCATCAGTGAATAATGTAGGTGAGGAGCAATGCCAAAACCATCAACCCATAAGCAATTCCTTGATCCACTGCCACCCCTGCATACCAAAACACCACATTCATCAACCACATGACATAAAAAGAACGACAGCAGACGCGGGTTAAGCCAGTTGGTTAGCGTCAACACCTTCATTAGGTTAGAGCATTTAAACTATCACATTGGGAATTGAAAATCATTTCCGCGCACATTTTTTTCTCTTTCTACAACCCTCCTTAGTTTCTGCAGAAAGAGAGAACCGTGTGCGGAAATCATTTCTCTATCGCATCTTAAAAGAGAGGGGGAGAAAATAACCATCGCTTGTTGGGGCAGGAGCAGGAGCAAGGCTTTGAGCATTGATGGAAGGGAGAAGGAGAGAGATAGCAAGGGCAAAAACTGCCACCACAAAGAATTGAACCTTCAACATCTCCATTTTCTTTTCTAAAAGCTGTAAAATTTTCTCACTTCCCAAACAGCTCTCTCTCTTGCCCCCCAAGCGGCCCCGATGGGATTTCTCTTCTCCAATCCAAGCCTTCAGCCAAATGAGGGTGGCTGTCAATTTCTCAGCGTTCGATTTATATACAGAAGAATCTCATACGACAACCCTAAAAGCCTAAAACGACAGTCGGACTAAGGAGAATCTTTCCTCAAAGGAGACGGCCACTCTGGCTTATAATTGCAGCCAACCTCCCACCCCTAATCCCACGCTCTCGAGGGTCTCCACGTGGACGGACGAGATTTCATGCACGTTCAAACTACAGGTATTGTCGAGCTGTGGTGCTGTGGGCCTCCACCAATGAGTTGGGATTCCTTCTTTCTGTGTACCTCCCACATGCAACTCAATCCTCAACTGGTACGGTGACTCCATCCTTCAAGAGATTTTTCAATGTGATCTATACACGAAATAGTACATCATGTGTCATTATATAAATATTGAGATATATGTACTAAAAATTTAATAACTTAAAAAAATAAAATTTATCATCACTCCTATTAAAACACGTAGTGTACCATTTGTTTTCCGTCGTAACTAAAAATTTCTCAGCCCCTATATTGTTATTTGTTACATTTTAGTGTGTTTCGGGTTTATCTTGTACTCAGAGATTTCGTGTCGTTAGATCAAAGATCGAATGATATAATGATAAAGTTTATACCTTTGACCACATATAAATAGACAAGGCTTCAACAATTAAAAACTTTTGTGTATGAAATACACCGAAATATTGTTGTCGGGTGGTACTTTTTTTGTAGATTACATGCGAATCAACTCCTTAAGAAAAATAGCGCACACCAATACAAGTGGTTCTCGTGATTATAAAGTGTGATCTTTCTAGCGTTTTTCTTTTATTATTTATGTTGAAAATACTAGTGGGTAATGAATGCCCACAGTATTGAATACCTGCCACAACATTGAAAACATTGCCAAAGGGTTGAAAACCTTGGCAAAATATTGATATGTGGAGATCATTTGTCAAAGATGTGTGCTTGGAGTTGCTCTATAAATAGAGCACTCCGTATGCTTCGAAGATAGAGCAGAAAAAGAAAGAGAGGAAGAGGAGAAAAGAGAATACATAGAGTTATCTTTGTACTCCTATTATTCCAAATTATAATGAAAGCATCACTGCTGCCCGAGGACGTACTCCAGTCACACTGACTGTAGAGGAACCTCGTAAATTTTGTGTCTTGTTTTATTTATTCCACTGTACACACATCGTCGATTTTACAACACATTATCAGCACGAAAAGCTCTTATGTCAGTGGAAAGCACAACGCCATAAATTCGATGAAGCACTATCCACCTCTCACCTCCGTCATCTAAAATCTCACAGAATAAAAGGTATGTCCATTTTTCGTCTCTCCCACTGCGCCAGAAGCGCCCCACCGAATTCCGGTGAGAATTGAAATTTACGACCTGAAGTCGTCACGAGATGAGAAAACTCGTACTTGACAACTGGTTTCCAGAGATCCAGAAGAATCTCATCAGACTTGGAAACCCAGATCACGTTGTTTTCAACGAATCTTGAGAACTCCCATGAATACTTGGTTGTTTGAGATGGTGATGGCAAGAATGAATCCACACAGGCCTCCCTCTCTTGTGCCTCTGTCAACCCCACTGTCATATATGTCTCTGTAGGGAAGTTCTTGCTTAACGATGACATGTTCCCTGGGTCATGCAAGAACAACGCCAGTCTCTAGTAGCCTTTTGGATTGAATTGAATTTGGGCAACCTCCATAACTACCCAGCTGGCCCTGCGTTTTGAGACTGGCAGAGACAGAGAAAGAAGAAAAAAGGAGATGTTGACTGCAACCTAAGAAAAAAAAAAAATATATATATATATATAAAGGATTTGAATGGTGCAGAATGGTGCATGACACCATTTAGTCAAAATCATTTAAATGGTTTCTGTTGGTGCATGGCACCATGCTACAGAAATAAGAAAAGTAAAGTTTGAATAAGTACTGACAAAAGAAAGAAAAATAATAAATAAAAGGAGATATGATACTTCTTGTTATTTATGTGAATTTGTGTTGGTTTAAAACCCTTTCACAAGTTCTCTTTACTTTAAAGCAATTTATTTATCATGGACGGTTTTACCGTCTACTGCTTTAAGTTTTGATTTATGTGAATGGTGCTGAATTAAAGCCCTTGTCACAAGCTTTATTTACTTAAATGCAATTTATTCATTATGGCTGGAATTACCGCCTATTGCTTTAATTTATTTATTGTACTTCTTTTTGTTACGATGAGTACATACTGGACCCGAAGTTCCTTGATCAGATCAGAACCTGCAGTTTCTTGATCCTCATCATATAAAAATGATTGGACCTGAAGTTCCATCAAACAAAAAGATTAGGACATAAAGTTCCTTGATAAGTATCTTAAGTTTGAAGTGCCGCAGTGCCTCAACTTAATTGCAATAAAAGCCATAAGAGTCTTAGTCTATAGACTATTAAATAAGGACCAGAAGTTCCTTATGTCCATACTCAAAAATGGTTTAGCAGAAGCATTTATTAAGCGGATGAAATAGATTACCCGCGCTCTGCTCACGAAAATAAAATTGTCCGTTTTTACATGGGTACATGTCATTTTACATGATGCATTATTGATTTGGTTGAGACCTGTTGACAATCATCAATACTTCTCAGTACAACTCGTGTTTGGGAACCAGCCAAACATTATATATTTACGAGTTTTTGGTTATCTATGTGCCTATTGCACTGCCACAACATACTGAAATGAAGCATCATTGCGGATTAGGCATTGATGTTAAACATCATCTATCATTCAATATTTAAAACCCTTGATTGGGGATACATTTACCGCGTGGTTTGCGAACTGTCATTTTGATAAGACAGTTTTCCTGCCGTTAGGGGGAGAAAATAACTTTGTTTCAGAAGAACGATGAGCAAATATCATTCCAGAAGAATGATGAGAAAAAACCGTTCCAAAAGAACGAAGAGAATTTGTCGTATTTTGATTCATGAAGCAATCAATATACAAAACAAAGTGAGAATAATTGAATGATACAACGATATGCAAATCAAATGCCAGATGCATTTAATGATGCAACGAAAATGATAAAATCACATATACTTGCTGCAAGTGTGCCTACAAGAATTAATGTCCCTATTGAACAAAATAATATGGCAGCAAATGATTTATCTGTTGCACGCCTGAAGCGTGGCAGATCCTCAGACTCAAAAGGTTCAGTCCTTCGAAAGAAGAAGAATATGGCACTACTGAACTATTGCATAACTGTCACATGCCAGACGCATAACAGTTGTTGCAAGGATACTTGTCCCGAAAAGGTCACTCCGTGGACATGGGAATATTGATGTCTCATGCATGAAGCATGATAGATATATAGGTTCCAATGACTCAACTCCCGAAGTGGAGATTAAAAATCCAAGCTCTATAACGCTCAAGAGGAGGTTATGATCCGTATTCTCTAAACTATAACTATCCTGAAAGAGATAGTGTAATGCCCTTGAAGAGGCAATGGATATCCCAAAAAGAAATGAAAAGCTTTTATGCATGCGCATGTACATGAGAATATGGGATCACAAATTGATGGATAACCAATGGTAATTTTGGTTTTTACAAGTAGCTATTAAATTCATCAATGAGCTGTGGTGATATTGAGTCCCGTTCTTTTTCCATCAACGAAATTATGGGCCAAAATGGAAATAGGCAATTCCATTACAATTTTGTAAGAACGTGGAAAAATAGACTTATATACTTGGATACAATACAAATAGCCAAAAGATGTTGAACCTAGAAGGTTACATATGGGCATTTGTAATACTGTGAAATACACTCACATGATATGACACAAGGTTGTAAAGGAGTTCATATGAATGGAGAATTATATACAAAGGGTTATGAGTCGCCCACATCATATCTCCATGAGTAAATCCCTCAAATATACATGGAAGCGAATTGCTCTGTATAAATTCTAAAGGAAAATGTGTCATGAAGTGTAGAAAATCCCTGAAGGATTTAAATTGCTTGAAGTAAGCCCCGGAAAGGTAAAGCATAAAATATGTACTCAATACCAATGGATGGTATAAATTGCCTTAGTGAGTATTTTCATTATGGTATTGTTGCAACATACTAAAATCTCTTGCAAGAGTTGATGATATTAAATTGGGACTCCTGAAGAGTCAAGAAAGATTATAAAGTGTTGAGAGAAATATTGTCTCGAACTGCAGAATCGAACAATATGCCAACACGAATCTTATCCATGATGTTTATGACATTAAAGAATCGTATGGATTGAAGATTATAAGTTGAATACTCAAATGATTTAGACACTAAGAATGATCATTTATCTTCGCGAGGGTAAAGATAAATTGATATTTGGTCCAGAAGTACCACATCTTAGTGAAATATATGCTTTATTGTATTTAACACAATATACTGAATGAAATAAAGCTTATATATTAATATCTCCGAGAAATTACATACACATGAGTTAAAACAAACAAACAGAAAGGAACCTTCACAAAGGTTACTCATGTGAAGCCTCAGTACTCGGAAGTACCCTAGAAGGGGAAGACACCAGAAGTTGATTATTTGGAGTCTCAATACTTGGTGGAACTCCAGACAGCTAAGACAATAGATGTCTTTGGAATAAAGACTCGAACCCCCGATTGTCATTTTGAGTCCGACCTTCGGATTCTAGTAGCTGGTCGAGCTTTCTTTTCATGCTCGTAGAGTAATTATTTGCAAGCATGTGTAACACTCTATTCTCATGCTTGAGCCCTTTAATCTCTTGTCTAAGACTTGTAACCTCAGCCATTAATGATTCAACTTGGTGAGTTCGAGCAAGTAGACGCTGGCCCATATTGGATACAGAGCCCGCACATTGAACACTGAGAGCCAATGAGTCTTGAACGGCCGCCTCATCAGACCGGTTTGAAAGGATTATGTTGTCCTTTGGAGTGAGAAGATTCCTGGCTACCACTGTAGCAGTTATGTTATTCTGCATCACAGAGTCCCCAACCGTAAGAGGACCATTAGAAGTTGAGAAGGACGGGCGCCATATGTTATCCTGACGCTGCTCGTCTGTATCAATCCTGAGACTCAAATCTAAACAAATGTTAGATGGGCAAGCCATTTTCAGAAATGATGAAGGAAGTTAGATAAAATCTCAGAAGTGCAAGAAAGGGAAATTTCTGCAGGCAACAACTTTCTGAGTGTTTCTCAACAAAATTGATCTCTCTATAATAGAAGGGGCAACAGGACCACTTATTCAAAAATCGAAGAGACACCGATTTTCGAATTTCAAAA